ACTTGTGGCACCTTAGAGACTAACAAATTTATTAGAGCATAAGCTTTCGTGGACTACAGCCCACTTCTTCGGATGCATCCGAAGAAGTGGGCTGTAGTCCACGAAAGCTTATGCCACAAGTACTCCTGTTCTTTTTGCGGATACAGACTAACACGGCTGCTGCTCTGAAACTTGTTTTTATAATTAAAGTTTTCTTTTCAAAATTTCATTATTAGTTATTTTTGATACAGTTATGAAATTTTACTTGCTCATGGTTAGACATCTTAGAAGAGAGGGTCATAAAACATTTTAGTCTGAAAGCAGGTCGCTGGCTCTTAAAGTTTGGGAAATCTTGCTCTAGATAGCAGGGTTAATCCTCTCACAAGTAGGTGTGTCCAAGTAAATTTTCAAACCCTGGTATAGATCATTACTAATGTCCAAGATGTATTATCAGAACTACAAATGCAGTGGCTATGACAACATTATGTAATAAAGGAGATCAGAAATGCTGAAAATGGCATGGCTATGAAAAGGTTTGTACAGCAATTTATAAATTTTAACCTAACATTTTCTGTAACATCTCAAAACTCAGCAAGCTACTTGACACACACACCAGCACCTAAATGTCATGCTAGATGCAAGCTTCCTTGTTTACAGACATCTAATATAAAATTGTATATTGTAGTAGCTGCAAGAAATAGATTACAATCTTAAATACAAGCTTTACTGAAGCATTTATACACCCTTACCACATCACAGTCTCTTATCTGTGGGTTTTCATTAACCCTTTTAAAGAGACAGTGCACTACATGGTGAACTAGACAGATTTATACCACAATAAATAAATCATCATGTACTTAGCTAAGACTGCATTAGAAAGCATTCTTCTAAGTCAATATGTCTTGAGTAGAAGTTCAGAACACAGGCAATCAAATCACAAAAACTGAGGAACATAATACCAAAACTTGTGTCTTTCATAGATAGTAACTACAAAATTTTATCTGAACAAAGCAGATGGCAGACAAAGTTTGTAAACAGGTTCCACATTTGAATCTCTCAGCTATTAATAGATGCCTAGGCTGCAGTGACCTTATGTCAGGCTAGAAACCACACTTCTATTGCATGAATCCAAGTGTTGAAAGCTGCTATCTTAGCTTTGCACATGTCAGCACTTCTTACGGATCAACGACCTAATCTACACACAAAATTGCACCAGTTTTACTGAAAGTGCTACGTTAAACCAATTCAGCTCAACTGGTGGAACTTAATATGTGGACACTGATATTAATTTAAACCTGTCTTACTTTGGTTTAGCTTTTTCCTGTACATCAAATTGCACCAGCTTAACATCATATCTTTAGTTAAATTGAGGAAATTTTATATTTATAAATTATATTAAATTTTATATTTAGACCAGGTGACCTCTAAGTACCAAATGCACTTTGTAATGTATTTATTAGCAAACTGAAGCTCACCTTCACAGTATTGTTCTTGTACTTTTCAAGAAAAAACATCAAAACAAATAAAGTAGAATCTCGGAGTTACGAACACCTCAGGAATGGAGGTTGTTTGTAACTCTGAACAAAGTGTTCATAACTCTGAACAAAATGTTATGGTTGTTCTTTCAAAAGTTTACGACTGAATATTGACTTAATACAGCTTTGAAACTTTACTATGGAGAAGAAAAATGCTGCTTTGCCTTTATTTTTTTAGCAGTTTACCTTTAATACAGTTCTGTACTGTATTTGCTTTCGTATAAGTGTATCTCTGCTGTCTGATTGTGTACTTCCAGTTCCAAATGAGGTGTGTGGTTAACTGGTCAGTTCATAACTCTGGTGTTCGTAACTTTGAGGTTCTACTGTATTGCTTTATCTGGAATGACCATACCCATTGAATGGGATCTGCCCCACACAACAACATTCTATAGTTCCTATTCCTATTCCACCACTGATAGCTCAATCCATCTTTCCCCCTCCCATTTGTCTAAATTTTATTATTTTTATCAACTAATATTATAGGTAACACCTTAGATCACTATAAAAGAAAAAGTAGGTAAGAAATGTTATTTTTGTAATGTATTTAATTTGTGGATTTAACAACAATTTTGTTTGTTCTTTGTAAAAACAATTTCCCCACAGGTGAGAAGTAGTTTTAAAATAGGAAACTGATTATAAAAACTGAAATTTAGGATAAGTTACTGACCCAAAAACTGCTTTAAAACTATTTTCAAAATGTGTTTTTCAATTTGGCCATGTCCCAAATTCCTGCCCTGTGTCTGTCACAAATGACTTGAATGGCACACCAATCAACAATCCTTCTCTTTCTCTGGCCTCCCATTACCAAAGGTAGCTGTTACTTGTGCTCTCACCTTCCTGTCTCAAAAGAGGAAGACTGGAGACACCAACAGTAGAGATAGCTGACTGCCTCAAGAAAACAGCTGGACCACTGACCTCATGGTTTTAATACTCCAATTAAGATCAAGGCAAGGCAAGAGAGAGACATCCCATCCAATTGAGGGGAACTGAAGAGGGGGGGGTTCACAGAAAAAAGGAGAAGGAAAAAAGTGGGAGTGAAAGAGACAGGCTAGAAGAGCAGCAAAAGAGAAAGGATAAGAGAGGCAGAGAATATTGAGTAAAGTTGTAGGTAATAGAGCAGGTGAATGGAGATTATTATAAACAAAGAATGAGAGTCAAGGAGACAACTTTAAAAAAAAATCAAAAATGGCAGGATAAGAGGAATGCAGAAAGAAAGGAAATAGAGGAACAGAATGAGTTAGATCAGTGGTGGGCAACCTGCAGCCCATCAGAGTAATCTGATTGCGGGCTGCAAGACATTTTGCTGATGTTGACCGTCTGCAGGCACAGCCCCCCGTAGCTCCCAGTGGCTGCAGTTTGCCGTTCCTGGCCAATGGGAGCTGCGGGAAGCGACGGCCAGCACATCCTTGAGGCCTGCGCAGCTTCTCACAGCTCCCATTGGCCGGGAGCGACAAACCGAGGCCACTGGGAGCCGCGGGGGGGCCGCACCTGCGCACAGTCAATGTAAACAAACTGTCTCGCAGCCCACCAGCAGATTACCCTGATGGTCCACATGCAGCCCGCAGGCTGCCCACCACTGAGTTAGATGGATTTATTTAAATAAAAAGGAATAAAGATGTAAAACGGAGAAAGGGAAACTTTTAATGTTTCCTTACATTCCTGAGACAATGCGGTGAGGTAATATCTTTTATTGAATCAACTTCTGTTGGTGAAAGAGACATGCTTTTGGGCTTATTCAGAGCTTTTCTTCAGGTCTGGGAAAGGTACTCAAGAGTGTCATAGCTAAAATTCAAGGTGGAACAGTAAGGAGTTAACATATGTTGCAAGAGACCATTCAAGGTGAAGCAGGCAGTTAACACCTCTTCAGTCATAGGAAAAAGGAGGGTTAGTGAGTTACAGATTGTTGTAATGAACCATAAATCTATTGTCTTTATCAAGTCCATGATTTTTGGTGTCTAGCAGAGTTAGGAATTTAAGTTCCCAGGCTTTCCTTTTAAAGGTGTTGTGCAGGTTTCATGTGAGGACGAGGGAGTGATCACTTTGTGCAACATGTTCACCCTAGGGTGATGCACAGAAAAACGATAGAAGACAAAAACACTGAGTTCATTCGAGAGTGGTTACAACATTCCTTGCATTCCTATAAGTTACTGTCAGATGCCATGTCTGAAAATTTTGTTGAAAGGGACTGGATGACTTTTTTGATAACATTATCTAATACTATCTACCTAGTATTTACTCTGAGTAATGTGGTTAAACAACTGGTGTTCTTTTGGAAGTCAGCCAGTACTCATTCTGTATTTAAATAACCAAAGCAGGGTTACTGCTGTTTACTTTTTTCTTGTAATTATGCTTTCCCCACTACCATCTTTTTCATCTCCTCAATAATCAAGACATACCTACAAATTAGCCAATGTTTGACTACTATTGGCTGACTGCTCTCTTCTCTGACAATGTGTACCTCCTCATTCCCCTTTTTATAATTGTATACACAGGCCTGGTCAATGCTATAACTGGAATCACATTAGTTAAAGTGATTCCTTGATGGTCTGCTCACTTTTCTTGGAGCCCCGCCTGGTTCTGTGAATCACCCACCACTCACATAAGGGTAGTGACTCCGGGATTTAAAAGTTATGAACAGCATTCAGACTGAAGGGTAAAATAATCTCTTATGTCAAAATGGCACTCTTAGCTGATCTCTGTGTATCTCATCATACCAACTGACAAAATATTTTGACATTTTTTGTCGTTTGGTTCTGTTCAACAAACATAGCTATCATGGAGTTGAATTTTATTTCTTTTTGTGCATTATCAGACTCATTACTAATTTCCATGTACAGTGCCAGTTACACCTGAGCAAGACCAGAAAGCAATGGGTTTGTACAACTGTCCCTGTACAATTGGGCACTCGTTGCCACTAGAGGAAGAATTTAGCCTGCAAATCCTATATTGCTGATGATGGGATGGGGCATGAGACGAAAAGAAACCAGCTTGACTCTCCGATCAATTTTGCAGGGCTGACAATGTTATTAAAAAATGCACTTTACTTGTACACAGAGCACATGTGACACAGATTCACGGATACACAATAAGCATGGAACCCACAAAGCCATTTTTGTGGTTACTTTCCTGGCACTCCCTACCTCCCCAAGCATGAGAAAGGATTTTGGTTTAAAGGGGAAAACAGATGAATACATTCCCACAGTTCTCTGGCCTCCCCTTTGCGACACAGGCACCTTGGTCACAGAGCCCATCGCAAGCTAACAGATGACATTTCTGCGTGAGCCCGCTGTTTAAATACTAGCAGCACAACATTGCACCAGCCTGACCCGCCCCCCAAAAAGCGATTCCCACCAGCTGTGCCACCTCTTCCCTTAGGAGCCGGCTAACGACTCACCTGCAGTCCTAGGCCCACCCACTAGGGCAGCAACTGCAGGTGCCAGCCCTCAGCCTCAGGCCCCATCGCCCCACTCCCCTCCCGGCGCTCACCCGGCCTCCCGCATGACGTTGCCGTCGCCGCAGTCGCAGGCGCCCCCTGCCTGGCTCCGGAACATGTTGTAGTCGTGCCCGGCGTGCTCGCCCTGGTGGAAGCACTCGGCGCACAGGCTCATGCAGGGCGAGATGCCGCACGTCCGGCAGCGATAGGCCACGAAGTTGGCCGTCCACACCAGGCCGCAGAGCGTGGCCGGGTCGTAGGCCCGCACCGCCTGCACGAAGCCCTCCCAGGGCTCCCCGCCCGACAGCAGACAGCGGCACCACTCCAGCGCCTCGGCCGCCGCCTCCCCGCCGCCCGGGGCCGGGGCCAGCGCCCGCTCCAGCAACGCCTGCAGCTCCGCCGCCGCCGCCCCGCTCTCCCCGCCACCGCCGCTCAGGGCCGCCTTCAGCCGCGCCGCCGTGGCCCGCTTCTCCCGGCCGCTCGCACCGGCCCCCGCCATGATGAGTACTGGGAACCCGGGACGCTGGAGCCGCTACGGCTGCGCCGGGCTCCCGGCTCTGGGGCTTCCAACCCCCGCCCTCTCTCCCCTCCTAGCGGCGCCTCTCTCGCGATAGCCTGGGAGCCGGCACCGTGCCCGCCGCAAGACGCCCGCTGCCCCCGCCCCGCGTCTGCCTCCTCCTGACATTGTCCCTCCTCTTCCTCCCGGGCCCTGTCTTGGGCCGCCGCCCGCCTTTCTCAGGCACCACCCTGCACTGATGAGCACGTCCTAGGCAGATGCTACCCACGGAGGTAACTTCCCAGGAACTTTTAAAGAGGGACCTTGTCGTGTCCTTTAGCCCCATCCTCATGTTTGGCATGGTATTTACAGCGCCTCTCATCGCAAAATAAGGTGAACCCTGGTTTCAGTGATATTGTGAGATAGGCGCCTAAGTCATAAGGTTGCTTAGGTGTCTGTGCAGGTTTCACTGTAATCGTTTGTTTAAGAAAAAATAATGGATACAAGTTTTGACCAAAATGATCATAATATTGTCTCCTCTATGTGATCCTAGCCCATCCAAACTTAAATATATACTGGTCACTTGCGATAGTTGTATCAATTGCATTGTGCCATTGTATTTAAGGAGAAACACAATATTTCTAGAAAGGTTATACAAACCTATACTAATAGAAATATTTTAATTATTTTTAATTTTAAAGTAAAAAAGATTTGGTTTGGCTTTAAACATTGCACTATTGTGATTGCTGAATGGGGTCCTTAATACGCAAGTTCATCCCTCGGGATGAATCTGTGTACAGTACAAACTTGCAGGATCTGGGCACTGCCTGCGAAGCAGGAAGAAGAAAATGACTAGAAACAAAAGTGAAACTGGCTAACCTATTTTCATTGTCCACATTGAATGAAATGTTAAGAGTGAACAAAAAGTGAACAATAAAGCCACAAACCTGCGAACCCTTGTGCATGGGTTTACTCACATGAGTAATCCCATTAAAATGATAAAGGCTGGATTTATGCCTCTACTTGTTTATGTGAGATTGCCAGGATTTTTAGGCTCTTAAAAATAAATAAAGAATAAAGGAATACTGTTACTATTAAGTAAATGAAACCACAAATCAAATGTAAGCAGCCATAGGTGTCAATCCTGCAATTTACAATACAGAGCAGACTACTGCTGTATCCCTGTGGGGCTCTGCACTGTAAACTGCAGGAACAGGAATCTACATTGTTACAAATTAAGGGGGAGAGTTGTCAGGATTATAATATTTTTAAATTTACAACTGTTGGCTATAATACTTTTGAAGTAATATTAGCTCTAATTAAATTTACCATTGAGCGATGACAATTTTTTTAAAAAACATTGTTGCCTTAACAAAAATAGACCTACATTTTATTTGGCCTGCCAAATAAACAAAACAAATAAACAAAACCTAACAAGGTGGATATTCCCTCTGCTGGTTTTGCAACATCATTATTCCTAGGGTTGTCCGCTTCTCTGCTTGCAGTGTTGTAGCTGTGTTGGTTCCAGGATATTAGAGGTGGTGGGTGAGGTAATATCTTTTATGGGACCATCTTCTGTCAGTGAAAGAGACAAGCTTTCAAGCTACACATGGCTCTTCTTCAGGTCTGGGCAAGGAACTGAGAGTGTCACAGAGCTGAAAAAGATACTAGAAGATATTACTTGTTTCCTCTAACTTTCCTGCTGGCATACTCCATCAATAAAGTAAACTACTGGGTCTTGTATTTTGATACATTAGGAACATAAAACCCAAGGAATAATGTGCAATCAGCATGATATTTTTTCCTCAGAATTCTAGGAAGGAATGGCAAATGAGTGTAAAAACATTTAAATCCAATCTATTAAAAGATGACAGTCTTTCTAATAGACAAAGGAGCTGCCAATGTTTTGGTCACTAAAATCTGGTGCTAAGCAACGGCTATGATATGAAATAAAGAGATGGTTGCTAGGGAAATGGTGACCTGGGAGGAATTCAAATCTACCTAATAGCTCTTGAGTCACTGCTTTGAAATACTGGAACTAGAATTTTGTTGCAGACATTTATTGGTCACTAAACTGTTGGACAAAGAGAAAGCTGTACCTGCAAGTGTTTTGCAAAACATTGAACATTTGCACTTTGCTGGAAAAAAATAGTATCTTCATGTATTTAACTCCAACAAATAAGCATTTGCAAGAATATGTACTCAATTACAGATGCATTATCTGCCTTTTTGTGTGTATGTATCCTTAAAGAGTGGTTATCATGTATCCTTCACAAAGCCCAATTTCAATTCAGCTAAGAGAGGACAAACCAGCAGAGGAGAGTTTTCCTCTCCATCTGCCATTACAGGGTGATCTCTTCCATTTCTTTCTGCTGTGTCTAGAAGGAGCAAAGCAGGGAAGATAAGGTGGGTGAGGTAATACCTTTTATTGGGATGACTTGTGTTGGTGAGAGTGACAAGCTATGGTGCTTACACAGAGTGCTCCTCTTCAGATCTGGGAAATGTACTCAAAGTGTCAGCTAAATACAGGAGGAACAGAGTGGTTAGCACAGGAGTTCTCAAACTGGGGGTTGATCCCTCAGATGTCAGGAGGTTATTATGTAGGGGTTGTCAGCCTCCATCCCAAACCCAACTTTGCCTCCAGCATTTATTTAGAGTTAAATATTAAAACATTGTTTTTAATTTATAAGCGAAGTTGCACTCAGGCTTGCTGTGTGCAAGGAGTCACCAATACAGAAGCTTGAGAACTACTGGGTTGGAGTAAGTACTTAACACATATTTCAAGGAACCATTCAAGGGCTCCAAAGTTTGTCTCTGGAGCCAACAGAAGTTGGTGCAATAAAAGATATTATCTCACCCATCTTGTCTCTCTAATATCCTGGGACTAGGGTGACCAGATTTCCTGATTTTATAGGGACGGTCCTGATATTTGGGGCTTTTTCTATATAGATGTTTATTACCCTGGACCCCCGTCACGATTTTTCACACTTGCTGTCTGGTCACCCTACCCGGGACACAAACAGGACTACAACAACACTGCATACAAGAAAGCAGGAAAGGAAAAGTGCCCTGGGCAGGGTACAACGCTACTAGTACCTGGGTGGATTGAATGGGAACTGACGGTGCTCGTCTCAGTTTCTTATGTGCATGCATGGGGGACGGGTTAAACTGCTGCACTGTGTGGAGAGAGGCGGAGGTACGCTGAAGTAGGTGCTTGGGGTGGTGGGGTCTCCGAGCCTGGGCTCCGTGTGGGGCGGCCGGGAATGGGCATTGTGCAAAGACGCAGGAGGCAGCCCCAGGACAGGAGCGCCCTGCCCTGCATGCTTTGCAGGGAAGGAAATCAGCAGCACAGCTCACAGCAGCCCTCTGCCCCGCTGTGAGGCTCCGCTCGCTACGGGAAGGTGAGGGGCCTTCGTTTGTGCATGGTGATGAGGTTGTGGCAGTGATCCCAGTGGGTAGGCGATGGTAATCCACTTCAGTGGCTAGGGAGCGCTCCTGATGTGTGTGTGGATAGGGAAGATGTGATGTGTGTGTGGATAGAGAGTGCAGTGGTGGTAGCCCTAGAAGGAGGTGACCCCCTAGGGCCCCAGAAGGGGAGGGGGAGGATTCATTTTTCTGGCTCCTCAGACATGTGAGGAAGCAGAAAACCTGCTTCAGATCAAGACCTATTTTTTTTTAAATTAACCTCAATATTATTATAGTTAATATTTATATATAACTTTATTTAATCCAAGTCACTTACTAGCATTAACTAATTAATCCTCACAGCACTCAATTTTGGTTTTGAGATAAATTGCTAAGTGATAGAAAAGGGAGTCAACTTGCAGATACATCATATTTACATGACTTTTTCAACTAGATTTGCAGACATAGCATTAGCTATGGGGCCTATGCAGGCACTGAACATCTGCAGCTGCCAGTGAAGTTAATACTTGAGTGTGTTCATTAGCCAAACAGGAATGTAGGGGGATTGGTTTTGTTTTTTGCCAACTATATTATCTAAGTTACACTTGGTATGCTATAGCCATAAAAGATAAGTCTGAGAAACAGGATGTGATTTTTTTAATGTATGTTTATTTTTAATGAGTTTTTAGAAGTTTTTGTATAACTATAAGAACAATTTTAATAGTGCAAACCTATGCCTAGTTATAAACTAATTTTTTTTTAGTTGAGAAAACAAACATGAAGAAGTTAAAACTTAAGGAGCTAGAAAGCCGTCTTCAGCAAGTTGATGATTTTGAGAATCCAAAATTACTTCTTGAACAGTATCCAACAAGACCACACATTGCAGGTAGAGATTAAACATAAAACCGTTGTAGATTCTCACTTTTCTGTTGCCAACATTGGATCAATACTTAAACTAAAAAAAACTAAAAAAATCTGCTAAATGTTTTTTTGTTTCTAGATGTTTATTTTGTGTGTGTCCTGAGAGTAATAAATTCATTAGAGACTTTTGCATTAGTGCCAGAGATTGCTTAAAGAGAAACTAATGCATGTGTTTTAGTAAATGTCTCCAATATCTCCAACAATTAAATCTAATAAATGGATTTTAAAGTTTAGGATGTGGGTTGCAGAAAACTTTGATTTGTACTGATAAGAACTGTTTGTTTGCGTTTGGTATTAAGAACACATAGAAACACGGCTCTTAGTTTTAATATTGATCTTTCAATCTGAGTAATTATAAAATACACCGCTACCTCAATATAACACAAATTTGGATATAACACGGTAAAGCAGTGCTCGGGGGACGGGGGGCTGCGCACTCCGGTGGAGCAAACCAAGTTCAATATAACACAGTTTCACCTATAACGCGGTAAGATTTTTTGGCTCCCGAGGACAGCGTTATATCGAGGTAGAGGTGTATCATTTCCCCTGTAGGACCATCACAAACAAAATTTCCTTGTGCACCTTCCATAATTACAATGAATACACCACTGTACGTATGAGACCAACATGGAAGACCAATGAGCTGGATTCTTTCTTACTCTTCAATTTTTGTTTCCATACATAAACTAGGATGTGCATTTTACTGGGATCACTAGGTTTGTGTACAGCTTGGTTCCTGTATAATCTACCATAGCCTGTGTCTCCTTGCTTGATTTTGAAATCTGCCTCAAAGCTTTCTGAAAGAAAATACACTAACTTGTCAACTGCCTATTTGTTCTTATCCTATAATCTCTTATTTTTCAGCATGTATGCTTTATACAATTCACAACACTTTTGATGATATTGAAAACAAGGTGGTTGCAGATCTAGGATGTGGTTGTGGTGTACTCAGCATCGGAAGTGTAATGTTAGGAGCAGGGTAGGTGTTTAACACCCAAGTTCTCTTTGTTCCTTTCCCAGTATAGAACTAAATGAGAAGATTAAGAACATGACCAATACTAGACTATACTTAATTTAGGTAACTAAAAATGATTGCATGACCACACATTGTAGTAGATCTAGCAACGGTATGAGCATGCAAATAATGACAAGTAATAGGGGCACTTGCTCTTTATTTAAAATAGAGGATTATTTATTAGAAACATCTTCATAATTTAGAAAATATTTTTCACCGAAGTGTTGTTCATATCCTGTTCAAAAATTCTGAGAAACATAAAAAGCTTCACTACTTACATTCCTTTATTAGTAATTTACTTCTAAAATATATCACTGTTCTGCTTTAGGCACATCTCTCAGAACTTTACAGCAGGAACAAACTTGACTGTGTTTAGAAATGTGCATTCTGAAAAGAAAATGTACCACATCTTTTAAAAGTAAAAATACTTCAGTTTGTTGATGGTTGTTTTCCATTTTCCAGGTTGTGCGTGGGGTTTGACATAGATGCAGATGCCCTGGAAATATTTAGTAGAAATGCAGAAGAGTTTGACCTCACAAATATTGACATGATTCAGTGCGATGTATGTTCTTTAGCTGCCAGATCAAAAACTTTTGACACAGTAATTATGAATCCTCCTTTTGGGACCAAGCATAATAAAGGTTGGTAATTCTAAAAAACAATTAAAATATTCCTACTTTTCAGCAAATGGTGTTAAAGTTTTACAATAATTGGCCTTTAATAACTAGTTGAACTAGTAGTTCTTTTGTATATTGCTATTACAATTAAACTTATCTACACCTATGCTAGACACCACAGTTAGGAAAAATATGGAAATATACACCCTCTCTTCAGTGCCATAATGTACTCAACACTGCTTTTAAAAATGTGCAGACTAGCAAGCATAACTGCAATTATTAGGGTTAAAAAAAAGAGAGGACATCTAAGCATGAAATTAAAGAAGTTAAGACTTTAAATGCAGACAAATAAGGCTTTAACAGCAGCTTGGGTCCTCTTCTTACAGGAATGGATATGACTTTTCTGAAGGTAGCTTTGCAAATGGCACAAACAGCTGTATATTCCCTACACAAAACTTCAACACGAAAAGTAAGTCCTTGACTTCAGCCGGTTAAGCAGGTGTAAGTGGCACTCTAATCTTCTACTACTTTTGTAAGATCAAAATCAAATGGATTCAATAGCCAAGATGAATACCTGTGCCTTGGGTGTTTGAAAACTAAGATACTTATAGTGCTTAATACTTGAGTGGGTATATATACACTCACACCCACCTTTAAAAAAATAGACTCCGGTTGGAGTTCTGTCTTTGGAGCCTTAATAATTAATGGGTATGAGAATGACAAGGTAGAACACTAGCCTTGATGCAGGAGACTGCAGATGTCAGACAGATTAATACTTCAACTCAAAACTCAAGTACACAAAGTATAAAATATGCCATAAACTAATTGGAACTAAGTTCATGGACTATTTTCTTATGTTCAGCATATTCAAAAGAAAGCAGATGAATGGAAAGTGAAGATGGAAGTTATAGCAGGTAATATCTTGTACATACATGTTTTTTTAAAAGTGCACTGTTAGTGGGTAATAGCCTCCAGGACCAGCTACTATTCAGATGTAGCACGAGGAGCTAGTTTAAAAATATGATCCATTGGGATGAAAAACTGGTAGATTGTTTTACCTCCCACCAAACTACAAGGAGCAAGTGATAAAGAGGTCTAAACTATGAAATAGGAAGTTTTGTAGGTTCTTCTGGTCCCAGGACAAACACTTCTAATGATGAAAGATGTCCCAGGTGATCAGAAAGTAAAGCAAATATTCTGGATATAGTCAGGAAAAACTTCTCAAAAGTTGCACCCATTCTCTTAACTGGACAAGATTTAGTATTGAAATAGGAGCAGGTCTGTCATCGGAGAAGACAGCAGACCCCATCTCAAAGCATTGTCAATCAGTTTTACCTTTCCCTGCTCCTGCATTCCCTTAGTCCTCAATTTGAGCAGTCAGTTTTTCTGATCTCCAAATTTTGGTGGCTATTTCAAGACTTGTGCCTTACTTTAATGGCATAGGAGTGAAGAATATCAGGGAAAAAAGACATAATGCAATATTTATACAGCAGTAGAATGCAGAGTTCCTTCATTGTCACACTCTTTTTGTGATGATTATCTAGTAGCAATTTCCTTCTAGAAACAAACTTGCTAATATGAAAATGTCTGTTCTGATATTAATGTGCATTCACTAATCAGGCCAGAGCTCAAGAACAGGCAGACGGAGACCGAATAAATGTAAAGCCAAATAGTTTTAGTCAAGTTGCTGGCAACAAAAAAGTGATCAAGGAATATAGTACAGTTTGTCTAACACCACTGAGCAACTAAGTGATTTTAGTATGACAGGTGTTCTCTGTACTCTTCACAGAACTTAGATATGACTTACCAGCATCATACAAGTTTCATAAGAAGTCGTCTGTAAGTATTTTTCTTATCCTGTATTAAATTATGAAATTGTATCTGAAATTTAGAGGTAATTGGCTAATAGTTTAAGACTAAAGTCTGAATTCAGTTTAACTTGCATTGAAGTAGTGCCTAATCATGTGCTGGACACTCTACAAAGGGGTTGGAGCTGCACTTGTGACTCAGTTTAGTATTGTTACCAAACTCATTTGCACATTTGATTTCAGGATTGAGGTCATGTGCTTTGCTACAGAGCAAGTTAGGGTGTGATTGAAGTTGGTGGAGTAGAAACATTTCCAGAAAATTTAAGTTGTCTCTACCCCTCTTCTAGATGGGTTGAGACCATTGTAGTTAGTACCTCTAGCATAAAGAAGTCTATTGTAGGATTGTGTTTGTATTGCATAGCATTTAGGCTCAGATCTTGCCTATGGCTTACCACACTAAGGCCCTGAATTAATCGAATTAAGGCTTAGCAAGTGGGTGCAAGAGGTTATCAGATCATGTTTCTATGTATCAAATAAATTTAGTGTCTAAACTCTACTTGCTCCCACCTATAGTTGACTGGGGTGAACTCCTGCCTCTATTGACTGCAACAGCAGAATTCCATTTGACTTCAGAAGGGACCAGGATTTTACTCTTAAAGGAAGGGTCATGGTTTTGGACTAGCGTGAGGATGTACCATGCATAAGGGCAGCATGGACAAAAGCAATCAGGAGCTGGTGGGAGCAGGTAATTAAGTGATTGCAGAGTAGGAGACAACAGAAGCAGTAATAGGTGATGTAACATATACCCCTCTACCCCGATAACGCTGTCCTTGGGAGCCAAAAAACAAAACAAAACCAAAAACATCTTACCACGTTATAGGTGAAACCACATTATATCGAACTTGCTTTGATCCACCGGAGCGTGCAGCCCCCCCCGGAGCGCTGCTTTACTGCATTATATCCGTGTGTTATATCAGATTGCGTTATATCGGGATAGAGGTGTATGAGGAAGTGGTTGAGTTATGATTAAGGACCAAAACTTTGTATTTCACATAGTGGAAGCAGTATGTGTTTTGGCTTTGTTGGGGGTTTTTTTGGAAGGAGAGGAGATGACCACCTGGTTAGAACAAGCTGCATTTAGAGTGGATCCAAGGGGAGCAAGGTGGATGCCAAGAAGGTTAAAGGGGAAGGGTCAATAGTGTCACAGAGAGGAGGACCTGGATAAGAGTCTGATCAGAAAGACCAGCAGTTACCTGGAAATAAGCTGCAAGGCTTAGATGAGAATAGGTGTAACATGAAGGCAGAGTCTGAGACCAAAAATTGTAGCATAAATGGCACTTTTGATTATGTATGTACCACTTGGAGTTGTATTTGGCTAGATATCTTCTTCTCCACAGTGAGGGACTATAAGAGTTTTATCCCACTGAAGCTATCCTTAATCAAACTATTTCCTGATTAGCATATTTATAGACCAAGTAGTGTGCACATATGAGCTTTGACAGAGTTCTGTCCACTAACATTAATAAGTTTGAAACTAGCATTCAATGGTCCATGATTTTTAAATATGGAATTTTATTGGTGTTTTTCATACAACTTCAAAATTACAGTCAGATTCAGGAGTAGACCCTCACTTTATACATTTGACTCAAATGCCAGAAATACTGAGAGGATCTGACAGTATAAGCAAAACTATAAATATAAAAAAATATCCAAGTTGGCATGTTAAGGTAAGCATGCGTTTGAGAAAAAAAAAAAAAACTTCACAAAATAAAAAAAGCTTTCCTTTCGTTACAGGTGGATATTGAAGTGGATTTAATAAGGTTCTCCTCTGAAAAACTTCCAAACTGAGGATTGGCTTAAAACCTATTTAAAATGGAATAATAAAAACTCAGTGCTTTTTTAAACACTATTACTGATCTCCAGCTCCATTTTCTGTTTTCAGCTGTTTTGATGCAGGTTCTTCTTTTTCAGTCTCTTCTAATGGTCTTTTCTTGGGACTTGCTGGCCCTGTAAGAGTTAATATAGGTAGACACTTATGGGACTAGTGGAAGTTTGTTATTACTTTCAAGACTATTCCTATCCAGCTCAAGACATACAATCTTTCAGGCTGCTACATATGAACAGGTTGCCTTGAAATTAGTACTTCGCATATTGCCTATGGAACAATTCCAGGTGATCCACAGCTACTATGTAACAATGATGAATCACCCATTCATAACTTGTGTCCAGAGGCTTTGGACCACATAGGAGGGGGAATTAACTAAACAGGAGCACCAGAATTTTTCCAGTCTGAAAAACAGTAATAGTATTGGTCATTGAGATAGACAAGGTAGGTGAGGTGGTATCTTTTATTGGATCAACAGAAGTTGGATATTACCTCATCCACCTCATCTCTCTAGTATCCTGGGACCAGCACAGATACCACAACAACACTTCAAAACAAGAATGGAAGATACCATATTTTTCCTTTAGTCAGGCACCAAATCTCAACAGGAAGGGAAGACAGCCCACAGTATGGAAGAGTTAAGAACCACTGCTCTAGGCCATGGCTAACAGACAAAAGGTTTTCCTCTACCATATTGAGGTAAGGGCATTCATTTACTTGAAAAAATATGAATGATTATTTACTGTGACAGCTGTGTAGAGCTAAGAAAACGTAGGACTAGTGACAGTATCTCTTCAGTGAAAACTGCTTTGTATTGCCCTGTAAATGCTCAACTCTGCAGAGAAATAGGTCAGTTTCTGTACAGGTCAGTCCTTAATTTGACAGACCTCCACAGAGGCATCAGTTAAGTGTCCCTGTGAACATGACTAAAATTTGAATGATCAGGAAAACTGGCCTGGGAGGGAACAAAAACTTTAATAGCATACAATAAACCAACTTGACCAGTTTCTAGAAAATACAAGAAGCAACTATTTGTTCAGTCTTATCTCTGTATATGCACAGACATTGCTTCAAAGGGTTGCTTCCAAGCAGCACGTGAACTACTCCATCTCAGGCACAAAATAGCTTACCTGTTTTAGTGTTCTCTTCACCCTCTTCATCCTCACTCTCAAATTTTGTTTTCTTGCCTTGGAACTGTACTTTCCCTTTGTTCTGCGAGCCCTGGGGTACTTTGCCACCTCTTCCTTTACCTTTAAATTTGCGACCTGTCAAGATGTACAAGATAGTTCAAGACCTTTTAAGAACCATGCATTAGTCATTTACTAATCTAAAATCATACAACTCAGTGAATGCACTATCTGACAAGTTCACTTTAACATAATAGAACTTCCATGAAAGTTATCCAAGTGGTATTCAGATTAGTCAGGGGGAAATTCACCTTTTGCTTTCCATTTGTTTAATGATTCTTGCTGACCCTCCATGATTTTTTTCAATGCTTCTTTCTCTGCATCTCCTTCCAGCACCTCCCAAATGACATCTTTGTTGCGCAACTGTAAGTTCCCATTATTTGCTTCTTTGGCTTTATCCAGTGCTTCTTTTGCATTATCCTTAAATAGGATAATCCCCTAAAGACAGAAACAAGCACCCTTTGCATTATGGAGTCTTGCCAGTGCAAAAGCATTAATATGACTGCAGCTGGAGTGTCAGGTACCCCCAGGTCTCCTGCCAAATTCAGATGCTACAGTTTGCAAACTCATTTAGAATAAATTTCTAGCCCATATGGTTTTGAAGATAACCTACATATTAACAGGTTTAGTGCTTCATCATTTTCAGACTTGAGTATTAACTGACCCACAATTCATGTCAATTTAACATTTGAGCCTAAATACACCAGCCCCCAGATAACTACATGTGCACTTCATATGGACAGTGACATGCATAGCTATGCACATAGACGGTTGAATAAGAAAAAGGCCAAGGTTTGCTCTGCATAATTCTCTATTCTCCCAGCAATCAGTGATGTTGCATTTAATAACTGGTTTGTTTAACTGAGATCTTTAGTCTAGCCTTTATGTTTTATGCAAACTCCCATAGCTATCAGTATGCACTCCTCTGTGGCTCTAGGTTAGCATATCCTCATTTTAGCCAGAGTCTAAGTGTAACTCTGCAGGGGGAGAGTCACATTAATGCTTTTACCCAGACCGCTTTCTAATAGCAGTTACTCTAGAAAGCTGAAGAAATAAACTAATTGATCTCTTTAGCACTATCATATTCTGCATTCCGTAAGTCCCCAATGGAAGGTGTAGTATACCATTGCTAAGTTAACCATCAGACACTTAAGCAGCATTCAGATACTAGACAAATTTCACATAAGACAAAAGTAACATCTCATCAGAGCCTTCTGACCTCCTTTGCCCCTCTGACAAAGTCTATCCATTTAATTTCTCCATGGTCAGAGAAAACTGCATGAAGATCTTCTCTGCAAGTCTGATCTTCTAGGTCACCAGAGAATTTCAGCAAGCATCCTGTCTTTTCATCCAGTGATTTCTAAATACAAGAGAACTTTTTTTAAAAAAATAAGGCAGCTAGAATTTGAGATTTGCACTGAAGTGCAGAGTTTCAGGGAGCTGTATTAAGGAGATAGTATTAAAAAGATTGCAGCAACTGATAAGAGATCAAGTGACATGGATTCAGTTGTATTGCTAGTAGGCGAAATCTCTCATACTTTTACACCAAAGCACCTCCGAGCACAAAAAAGTTCCTAGAAGTCTTGCATGGCATTGTCAGTCTTGAAAAGACTGAAAAAAGCAATGTCACAAAGTTTTGTAACCCCCTTTTCCTGACTCTCCATAGGATATTCACAACCCTTGACACCCATGTGCCACTAGCCCTGTGGGCTGCAACCCCAGTTTGTGAACCTATGCACTTAGATGGTCAGTACCACTAAAAGTGCTCATCCCTGCCACCCATCTTGTTTCTTCATATATGGGATATTACCCAGCCATTCAGTGCTAATTATGGAATCATGTACAGTGACATTTGTTCTACACAGTAGAAAGCAAATTAACATCTTGTAATAAATTGATAAAATTAGGCCTTAAGAAAAAATATGATGTGCTTCTGGGTGGGAGGTCAGATTTGATTATGGAGGTAGAGTGGTGCTCCAAGCTGAGTGTTGACATTTTGGGCAATGTTTGGCACCCTCCTATAACTATGTTAGAACACAGGGTTAATACAAAAACACAGTAGGGCAGAAGTAGCTTTAGTACTTATCAGGTCTATGAAAGCACACAGTATCAAAACAGACTTGACAATTACCAAAGCAGATTCATTGTGACCTTGTTTATTCTATCCTTCCAGACCATTCAAGAGGTACATACCATTTCAGCATCTTCTGCTTGCTTCTGTTTTTCTTCTTTCTCCCTGTAAAAGTTCAGATCACAGTTGGTTAGAATATAATTAACTAAATAAGGCAAGGTGCTTCATTAATTAAACAAGAGCCTAGCTTACTGTTTTGCCTTTGCTTTAGCCTCTACTTTGTTTTGTTTCCTCTCTTCATTCTTCTTTGCAAAGTACTCCTCCCTTCAATAGAGGTATAAATTAAGTTAATACAGCCTATTAAAAAAGCCTTTATTTTATTAAAAGAGAAGATGGTAGAAGCCAAAGAAACTTCTAGCCCTAGAACATCTTTATAATTAAAAACTATTCCAAAGGAACAGCAAAGCCTGCACAAATCAAGCAGTATTGGAGACCTGTATGGCAATGCAGGCATCTGTTCAAACATAAGCGAAGTTGACTTACTTGAAAAGCACAATCAGCTCTGTCTCTTTGTACTTTTGGTTTGGAATCTCTGTGAACTTCTTAGCAGATTCAACACTATCAAATACTGCAAAAATTGATCCCTATTGAATTGGGAAATATTAAGAATTAAATAGATCAATGGAATGTTCTCTATGTTTTTCATAGCTAGCAAAGCATCAGTTATTGTGATATAAAATTACCTTGAATGTTTTACTCAGTGTTCTCCTCATTTGAATGTTTTCTACTGAGCCTTTACCTTCTAGCCATTCTTTGATATCATCAAGTGTTGCATCTGTTGGAAAGCCTTTCTGCAAAGTAATATTGAACTTCCAATAATTACATGAAACAGAACCTATGACATTTCAATTAAAGAAAGTATCATTACAAACCGGTATGGTGACTGAAAAGTACAAATCAGTTACTTAAAACTTATGCCACACCTTGTTTTATATTAAAATAAAACTAAGCAATAGAATCAGAATTTCATTTGGGTTAATGCTTTTTAAGTAATAAACTGAAAGTAATGCAGTAGAGTATGAAAGCTTACAATATATACAGATCTGTTTTTAATTGCATTTTTATACTGATCATTCACTTCAGGGAGGGGTTTACTTGGAGATCTTCTGATTTTCGTTTTGTCTTCACTTATTTCCATAAGTCCAGCTTTAGATTTTCTCAGTGCTTCTACTATAACATTGAAGTCTTTTGAGAGACTGCTTAACCTATGGAGAAAGAACACAGTATATCAAACAGGGCCACATACCCCATCCCCAGCATTACTCAATTATGATTTGAGTTGTACATACAGAGTGAGGACATGTGGCCCCTAATTCAGACAATATGGTTATTTGGAAGGCACCCAGCCACAAAAGGTTACTTGCACTTTGTTTTACCTGTTGAATTTGATCATTATTTCTAAAGGCACCCAGCCATCATCCAGTTTCACCTGCTCCTTTAGGAACTTGTCTCTTGGTAGATTGTGATCACCAAAATAGTACTGCAAAAATAAAGATAGATTTGTCCTAGACTGTTGAAGCATAAGAGAATTTGATGGAGACTTGATGCAGTAATGAACTAGCCAATGGAAGTTTGCCCTGCCCCTTTACACCAATATCATAGGAGTTATCTGCGTAACTGAGTTAAAGATATCTTTAACTTCAGAATTTCTAAATTCTCTAACCTCCAAATCTAACTGCAGGTGGCTGACCATCTAAAGAGTGATC